GGTGGTTGACAATCCTCAGAGTGCGTCTAGCCTAGAAGTAGCCTTCTAGAACGGGGCCATCCCCAGTTGTCTTGACTTATGTCTTGCCAATGGACTCAGATGACTCTGGAGGAGAGAGTGAGGCTGATGACTTTGCACAGCCTTGCCTCACTTAAATCCAATTCATTTGCAAGTCAAGACATCATTCTCCAGATGTCACTGGTCCTCTTCAAGAACAAGGACAAACAACAGCCTTCTAGAGCCTAGGTATAAGGAAGGAGGGCTAGGTGCTACATCTATATTTTATTACCTCCTCAACAAATACACTCTGTTTTGAGAAGGGGGTAATTTTTGTTATATGGAAGATAACTGGAATGTATCTTTACAACCCCTACCCTTTTCTAGTAAAGAGTATAGTATTTGGAAGCCAAAGGAGGTTAGGTTAGAAAGGGTGGGATTGAAAACTGTTCAATTTATTGAGAAAGACTAGGAGTGAGGCAAGAGAAACCACAGACTCACAGAGTCTCAGATGTGATCTAGTGTAACCTCTACCTGAACAGTAATTCCCTCTATAACACCTGAACCCAGTGGTCATCCAGACTCTACCTGAAAACTTCTAATGATGGGAACTCACTATATAGAGACAACCTATTACATTTTTGGAATTGTTAAGTAGTTTTTCTTTATATAACCCTTGTGTCAGAGGCTCACTCATGACACAAAGGGCATAGGTACATTTTGACGACCTCTCACTTCACTGGTCTATCACCCTAATCAAATGACCTAGGAATTTTAGTATGTGGTACTATCCAAAGGTAATCACTTACCTCTTAGAAGCACATGGGCTCAAAAGGTTCAAAACAGAACAGTTTTATTTAAAAATTAATGGAAAAAGATGAGACTTGCATCTGAGTTCTTAGAAAATAATACCCCTCCAGTGACTACTCCTTCCCCCAGGGACCTGCAGAGCCTGTGGGACACCCATTATTACCCTGCACAGGGCACCCATCAGTGCTACCTTTCATGGCTGCTTTGTCACAATGCTTATCTTCTGCAGCAATCCTGCAGACATCCAGGTGTCACCTGTCACTACTGCCCATCAGTGCCTCTGTTTGCTAGATCTTTCACTGCTCCATGGCAGCCTCCCCTCCCAGTAGATGCTTCTACTTCTTGCCACTCAGATTTCATTCTGCTTCCCAGGAGATCCAGGACAGAATTCGGTTAGGAAGCTAAGGAAGGAAAAAGAATCCAGGACAAAGGGATGGTCAATGGTGTCAAAAGCTACAAAGAGGCCAAGTAGGATAAAGACAGAGAAAAAGAAAAAGGAATTGGATTTAGCAAGTGAAATCATTGCTAATGTGGTTGGAAGCAGTTTCAGGTAGGTTGTGGGGTCAAAAACTAGAATGCAAAGAGTTAAAGAGCAGGCAGTGAGACAGTGGAAGCAATGAATGGCTTGTGTCTGGAGTAGCTCGCTGTGCCCCCAGATCAGCCTTCCATTGTCTGCCTTTAGATTCCTTCCCCTTTACCCTCCAAGCCTGGAATGCAATCCCTCTTCAGCTGTCCCAAACCCAGCAATGTCCTGGACCTTTTCCTTCTCTCTCTACACTCCCCATCTTGATGATCTAGTTCTGTCCTATAGGTTCAAGTATCATCTCTACTCAGATGATAGCCAAATCTATATATTGACTCTTTCCCTTTAACTCTAGTTTCACATTATTAATTGCCTGCTAGATATCTCCATCTGAATACCCTAAAGGAATCTTCTATTTAATATATCCCATTTAGCACTTCAACTCCTGCCCTGGGTGAGAGTTCTCCATAGCCAGTTCAGACCAGACATACCAGGCTGCTCTCTGGCCTTCTTGGTGCCATGCTGTTCCCTCTCTCAGTCTGCTTTAATCAAATCAACACTGACATTCCTGGAAAGAACAAATTAATCAATTGTCTTGTGGCTCTACTCACCATCTCTTTGACTTCCCAGATAAAAACATCCCTCCCTAGCCACTATTCACCCATATGCATTGTTCTCCCATATTAGACTATAGGCTCCCTAAAGGAACACCTTATTTTTTTGTTATTTGTATCCTTAACACATAGCACAGGGCCTGGCACATAATAAGGGTTCAATATACATAGTTTCATGCATTCATTTATATCCCAAAATGGAACTCTTTTATCTTTGACATAAAAATTGTTCAAGGATTCACTGATAGGTACTGCTGCCAATCATATTTATCAACATGCAGAAACATTTTAATATTGTAATGCTGAGCATAGATCCATGATATACAAACAGCAATGGCCCCAAGTAGCTGTTTTGGCAAACTTATATAGGTTTTAATGACAAGGCAGGAGGGATACAGGGTATCCCTGTACAGGATGAAGGATAGAAGACAGAAGGGGAAGATCTGTCAGGTAAAGTAATGAACTAGGGATAAAGCTGGAATTTGCAGACTAAGCATCAACACAGAAGCTATACTTAGTTACTTGAAATGCTCATCTTAAGTAAATAGAGGTAATAAAGCTGAGCTAGAAATTCTCTTATCACTAACCAATTAGTCACTGGAGCTAAATTTGATGTTAGATAAGTCCTGCAAGTTCCAGCTAGTTATGTGACTAGCTATCCTAATATTACAGAAAAATGATCACATCTTCCTCATTAAACTTGCTCCTTCAAATTTTCCTATTTCTGTTTAGGGGACCACCATTTTTCCATTTATTTAGGTTCAGAACCTTATAGTTAGCCTTGACTCTTCCCTTTCCTACGTTACCTAAACATTAAAATATCCTTGAACACTTTTATTTTTTTTTAATTTTCAATTAATAAGTATTTATTTTTTCTTCCTCTTCCCCTCCCCCCTAGAAAAACAATAAAACTAATTTGATAACAGACAGGCATTGTCAAGGCTTTAAACACATTCCTACATTAGCCATGTCTAAAAATGTGCGTCTCATTCTGCATCTTGAGATAGGTATCAGGAGATGGGTAGCATACTTCTTCACTGGTCAGAATTCTAAAGCCTTTCAAAATTATTCATCTTTATAGTGTTACTGTATAAACTGTTTTCCTAGTTCTGCTCAATACCAGTTCTCAAGTCATCTAGATTTCTCTGAAATTTTACCTTTTATAATATCTTAGGTCCACTAACATTCCATTATACTCAAACACCATAATTTTTCTAGCCATTTCCTAATTGATGCCCTCCTGGTTTCTAGTCCTTTGTCACTACAAAAAGAATTGCTATAAATACATATGTGTACATATGGGTGTTTTAGGAATGTACTTTGTATGGGTTTTTTGGGGGCCACAGCAAAATGCATCAATATTCAAGTGCCCATAATTCTCTTGTTCTAATATATATTTCATGCTCTGGATATCAGATTAAAATGATGAAGATTATGAGTATTGATGCCTTTCATTTTTAATTCAGTCACTTTTAGACTTATCCCATGCCCTAATTGAACTCTTCCTTGTAACAAAAGCTTAAGTAAAAACAACTAGTATGTGATTGCATTGTATATATATATATATATATACAATAGATATAACACTTTGCTCTACTGGTTCCCCACCTCTTAGCTGAGGAAGGAGGTATGTTTCATTATGTTTTTCAGCATCAATATAGCTTTTTGCAAATACTCAGCATTCACCTTCCTTTTAATGTTTTTCATTTAAATTATTACAGTCATTGTACCTGGCATACAGTAGGTGCTCAACAAATGCTTGTTGAGTGACTTTTTAGCAATTTTATTTGCTACCTAAGACTTGGTGTTCTTTTTTCATTTTCTTCTCAAGACCAAAGAATCTTCAACTCAGGCCTCTCTGAATATAGGGGAAGACTTCCCAGTGAGACTCTTCTCATGGACATGTACTTCTCTACATTTATTCCAAACAACCTGTTGAATTTAGGATCTTTAGTCCACCTTGGCAGATTATACCCAAAAACTATTCTTAGTTGTTTAAGATTGTAAATATACGCATACAATTAAAACACACAGTGGTCACACTGGAGAAATTTTAACTCAACAACAAATATAAAGATGAAGATCAGCTCAATCACGTAACAATTTGCATTTTTATTTAAGGCTTTTTGTGGGGGATCATAGCTTTGATTGCGTAAATAAGTGGTGTAAATAAGTTCTGATTAGAGATTTCCTCTGCTAGATAAGCACTAGCTCTACAACTTATGTCTTAAAAGATTTGCTTAGAGTACTGAGAAATTAAGTGACTAATATAGACTCACTCTCTGTCAGGGGTAACATTTGAACCCAGATCTTCCTGATTTCTAATGACAACCACCCCAGTGTGTCTCTTAGAGCTTGAAGGCTGACAGATTTCCCTACTTTTCATTAACCACTTCATTAGCCTTGTTAATTTTGATTGATAAGTCATGCACCAGTCAAGGAAAGACATCTCATTTATCAAAGGGAAGACACATATGTGCAGACTACTGGGGATAGAAGCAGTGCAACTTTTAGTGAAAGTACCTCCAGGATGATAAGGTTTCAGAATAGACAAGTCCTGCAATGTTATTTATTCAAGGGGTAAGATGGCCAGGCCTATGTTCAACCAGGCAGGTACTGCCTCTTGCAAGAGAGGAAAAGAAAGGGGAATGTGAGAAAAATTCTGTGCTACCTTGAAGGCCACTTCTCTAATTCTTCCCACTGCTCCTATTGCCATTGTTCATACTTGCGGTGAATTTGAGAGGCAGAGTATTATAGCGCTTGGAGAGCCAGCCTCAAAACCTGGGTTCAAGTTTTACTTCTAACACATATGATCTTTATGATACTGGACAAGTCACTTAACCCAACTCTTAAAGCTGCAGAGGCGCCACTGCTTCAGTAGAGGGAGTTTGCTCACCTACACCAATAAAATCACAGGTCCAGTTCCTGGCCCTATGCTTTTAATGAACTCTCTGCCTCATAAAAGACTCCAGAGGACATTTCTCTAGATAATCCCTGCTCTCATCTTTTCCTGCACACACCTCTCCCCCCACCAAAGAGAGGGCAATTCTGGCCAATCCTTAATTAAAAACATTTTATTTAAATTTTGTATAAAGGAACAATCCACGATTCTCCAGAGAACTGTGCCCAAGAGATGGGTACGATGACAAGGTGTTGAAGATGGTAAGTGGCAACTCCAGACTGGGAACTCAAGTGGTTGGAGAAATAGAAAGGAATTAAATTTTTAACTCTTGATTTAAAGGTCCATTATACTCAAGTATTTAGCCTAGTCCTTCCTGCAAACCTCGGATTCTTCTGGCCAGTTGAATATCTTTGGGATACAGGGTTACCCTCCGGGCATGTATGGCGAGGAGGTAGGCATCTTCAAATAAATGAGTTATAAATGCTTCTGCTGCCTGGGTACAGGGAAAGAGATAGATGAATTAAAGTAGTCTAAAAAAATTGGGGAAATTTTTCTTAGTGTTTTCTACTCTTAGCATACCAAATGCAGAGGCAGCTATAGGTTCTACTGTACCTATATGAATGAGGAACAATACCATTTTTCATTTCTGGACCTCAATCTTAGGGAAGGGCTCAATACTAGGTAAGAGATGGAACTTAATAACACTGAGGCCATAGTATTAGAGTGGCAGCATCTAGATCTTTGGGGTCCCACATATTTCAGTATCTAGTCCTCAAACCCTCAGCTATTTCCCCTTATTCCTTGTCTCTCTTCCCTTTGTGAAAACCTCAGGCATTCTACCTCATAGTTCAATTATGCTTCTTTGTGACATTCCATTTTCCAATCAGTTGCTGTTTGGGAAACTTGTAGTATTTTGTGACAACCCTTTCTCCCAACAACCACGCCACCTTACTTAAGGTTAGAACATCCTTTGCCCCTCTCCTCACCTCCTGTAGGGCCAGTAGGGCCTGAGATTGCCAATAAAAGTCCACTCCTCGAGTATATCGGAGGCATATTTCTCTAACCTGTAGTTTGAGGAAGGCAGGAAAAAAAAAAACAAAACAAAAAGGAAAAGATCAAGGCTAAAACATATTCTTGCCAGGAAAGGGAACCTTTTTTCCCCCTTTCTGGACTTCATTGTTGAGGATGGTTTCAATACCAGCCAGAAGATGGACAGATCACTGGGCAGGTATTTAATGGGTAGTAATTTGAGAAAATAAACATTTGTTACGTGGCTACCTCAGTAGGGGCTGTGAGAAAATTAAAACCATGCGGGTGAAAGGTGTCATTGGAAGTCCTAGGGTTTGGGAGGAAATTCCTAAACCTCAGCAGAAAGTTCAAAATAGGTCGTTAAGGGTAGGTAGAGTCCTGGGCAGGCTCACAAACAAGCTGTCCTATAGGTTAGGAGTGGGGTTGTCCCCGATGCTCACTAGTCGACCAAAGGGTGCCTTCCTGATCAGCAGGTTCGTGCTTTTCTGCAGCTTGCGGATCTCCCTAAGAATTCGATGGCTTGGTCCGCCGGGAAAGCGGCGGCGGCGGCGAGAAGAGCCTAGGACAAACCACGGTCATGAGGAGGAACGGAAGGGAAGGGAAGACGATGCAGCGGGAGGGAAGGGGGCCCAGGCCTGAGGCGGGGGTCGGGTCGGGGCAATGGTTACCTGCGGGGGGCGTGGTGGAGGCGCGGGGCTGAGACGGGATCCCGGGGCGCCTCTTTGGGGTGGATTTGCGGCGACCTGGTCTCATGGTCCAGCCTGGTGGGGGCAGAGTGTAGGCATCGGAGGTCGCGGGGCCCGGGAACCTACAGCTCCCTCCCCGCCCTCCTTTAGCGGCTCGCGCAGGGCCCGGGAGGCCGCTCTGATTGACTGACCTGCGGTCTGGAGGGCACGGGGCAGTCCGGGGGAAGGGAGAGGGTCAGATGAGAGAGCCGAGCCGGGGGAGGCTGGAGGAGGGCAGGGAAGGGAGTGCTTGGACTCAGTCCCTCGGACCCGGAGTCACTGGCTGCATGCCTCCTAACCGCCGCTCTTAGGCTTACAATTCAAACTTCGCGCAGCGGGCTACATCACTTCCGGTTACTGCCTCTGCTTGTTTCAGAATTTGGTGGTGGGGTGGGAGTGTGGGAGGAGTCTACGCCCAAAGACCAATAAATGTGAGAGAAAAGCAGGCAGGCGGGGGAGGGCGAAGAAGGGGCGGGGTTATCGCTTGATTGAAGGCAAAATAGCCAACGAGGGCTCAGAATTAGTCCAAAGAAGGCAGGTATGCCTCATCTGGGCCCAGTCAGTGGGTTGCCGGGTGTGGACTTTCGCGTCACCCGACAAATTGGAGCCTGAGGCAGTAGAGTAGCTTAGACTTTATTGACACCTGTGGAGTTAGGAGGCTAGGCTGGCCTGGGTGGGTACGCCCCCTCGCGGAGATCCGGGTTTCTGCTCGTCTGGTGCTCGCCATCTGCTCTGCACCCGTGGGTCTGGCTCCCAAGTCCCAATGCGTATTGTTGTGGGCTTTTACCTCCCCACCGCTGTCGTCATCTGGCTGGTCTTTTTCCACGTGGGCGTAACGGAGGCCGCCATACCCTTGCCCTGGGGAGACAGAAGATGCCAGTAAAGTCTGGAGCTCTAGGGGTCCTCCCACAAAACTCATAAGACTTTGTGTATAGCGATTAACAAAACCGGGAGGAGATGGCCGGAGGAGAAATCCCATTCAAAGTGATTTCCAAATGCATATGTTATGTAGAAATCAATCTATCAAGAGACTCAAGACTATAAATGCAATTATAAAATATTCTTTACAGAAAGACAAAACAAATTTGTTTTTACAAAAAGATAAATGGTTGCAGGGATATTCATTGTTCATGGTCAGGTTGAGCGAATATAATAAAAAATGACAAGAAGGCTATTTTTTTTCTGGACCTATGCTTTTGTTGATTAAAAATAGTAGTTCACATTTGAAGAAACCATTTTAGGTAAAAAAAAAGCTAGCATTTATATAGTATTTTAAGGTTTGCCTTACACATATTATCTCATTTCATTATTTCCATTTTACTGGGAAGGAGACAGGGGTGGGGAACCAAACCTCACAGAACAAATCCTTTTAAGGATTTGTTTTGTAAAACTTGGACTCAGTCAAAAGGTCACACCCAAAGACCCAGAAGGCCACATGTGGCCTGTAGGTCACAGGTTCCCCACCCCTGGCCTGCAGTCTCAAAGATAGTTGGTATCTGAGGTTGACCAGGTCCAGGGTTTTATCCACTGTTCCACTTAGCCTACTTACAGTCTTCAGTATCTTCAATCAGAAGAGTGAAATTACAGTCAATCTAGTCACTGTTCCAACACCTATAGGCTATGGTAACTGTATCTATCATCAGTGATGGGGAACCACTGAATGCAAGGGGATGTCTCCAGCTGGGACAAACTGCTTGCTAAATTCCTGGGCTGAGGAGTCTCTCTTGACCCTTTAAGGTTTTGAAAAGCACTTTACATACGTTGTCTTTTTTGATTCTCACAGCAGCCCTGTCAGGTGCTATTATTACCCTTAAAGATGAGGAAACAGGTTCAGTTACTAAGGGTCTCAGAGTTAGTAAATGTCTGAAGCCAGATTCTAATCCAGTCTTCTATCCACTATACTAAACTGACTCAGAAGGAAACCTTTGGATAAGAGTTCTGTCCATTCAGATTCATGGCTGATCTGCAATTTAAAGTCTAAGAAACAGTTTAGTGGGGACATATAGCCACTTTGGAGGCTTTTTTTTTTGAACTTTGAATTTCATGACAAAGGATGGTTTAACATCCACTGCTTAATTTAGGGCAGCTAGGTGTTGAAGTGAATAGAGTGCTGCTGGGCTCCTGGAGTCAGGAACACTTGAGTTCAAATTCAGCCTCAGATATTTGTTAGCTGTGTGACCCTGGGCAAGTCACTTAGCCCTGTTTGCCTCAGTTTCCTCATCTGTAAAATGAGCTGGAGAAGAAATGGCAAACCACTCTAGTATCTTTGCTAAGAAAACCCCAAATGGGGTTACAAGGACATGACTGAAAATAACTGAACAACAAAAAAATGCATATTAATTTACAGATTTAGTGCTATAGCAATTAATCTACCAAGTGGATATTTCAGAGAGCTAAACAAAAGTAATAAAATTAATTTGGAGGAGCAAAAGCTCCCAGGTGATCCCCTAGATCAAATGTAATATTCATGAGGGCAGGAACAATCCCATTTTTGCCTTTCTATCGCTAGCCTGAGATCCAGAGTAGTGTGGTGGATAGAGAGTTGGTTTCAGATCCACAACAGACCTGGGTTCAAGCCTCAGGATTTCACTGGAACACAGAACTCCCAAGTGAAGAAATTGCTTCTATTGATTCAGGTCAGCACTTGCTCAGCAACCGTATAGTCTTAGATAAGAGTTGCCTAGAGCACTGAGTGGTTAAATAATTTTTACAAGAATAAAACAAGTTGTATTAGGGTGTGACTTGAACCCAGGTGCTCCTAGCTCTGAGGGTGATTGGTTGGCTCTCTTAATAAATTGGTTATTCAATTTAAGCCTGAGGTTCTACTGAGGCTGAACACTGTACAGTTCTAGTCTCTCTTCTAGAGCTAACTTCTAGAGCTTCAGGTTCCTCATGTCTAAAATGAGGGCACTGGAGTACACAAGAGCATCTTGCAGATTCAGAACTGGAAGGGATCTTAAAATCCATCCAGTCCAACTCTCTTTACAGATAAGGAAACTGAGGCCCAGAAAGATTTAAGTGATTTGTGCTATTGATTAGAGAAATGCAAATCAAAACAACTCTGAGGTACCACATCACACCTATCAGATTGGCCAACATAACAAAACAGGAAAATGATAAATGTTGCAGAAGATGTGGGAAAATTGGAATACTAATGCACTGTTGGTGGAGTTGTGAATTGATCCAATTATTTTGGAGAGCAATTTGGAACTATACCCAAAGGGCTATAAAAATGCGCATACCCTTTGACCCAGCAATAGCACTTCTAGGGCTGTATCCTAAAGAGATCATAAAAATGGGAAAAGGACCCACATGTACAAAAACATTTATAGCAGCTCTTTTTGTGACAGCAAAGGATTGGAAACTGAGGGGATATCCATCAACTGGGGAATGCCTGAACAAGTTGTGGTATATGAATGCAATGGAATACTATAGTTCCATATGAAAGGATGAGCAGGCAGACTTCAAAAACACCTGGAAAGACTTGCATGAACTGATACTGAGTGAAGTGAGCGGAACCAGGAGAACATTGTACACAGCAACAGCAATACTGTGCAATGACCAACTTTGATAGGCTTAGCTCTTCTCATCAATGCAATGAACTAAAACAATCCCAAAAGATTCATGATGGAAAATGCTATCCACATCCAGAGAAAGAGCTATGGAGTCTGAAGGCAGATTGAAGCATACTATTTTCTCTTTTTTCCCCCCTTTGGTTCTAATGCTTCTTTACAACATGACTAATGTGGAAATATGTTTAATATGATTGTACATGTATAGCCTATATCAGATTGCATGCCTTCTTGGGGAGCATGGAGGGGATGGAAGGGGAGAAAATTTAAAACTCAAAATCTTATAAAAGTGAATGTTAAAAACTAAATAAATAAATAAATATTTTTAAAAAATTACATTAAAAAAAAAGATTTCAATGATTTGTTTAAGATCACCCAGTGTAAGTGCTAGAGAGCTAGGATTCAAATCCAAGTCCACAGACTCCAAATAAATGGTTTTCTCCCCTGTAATAGACCTTGAAGATCTTTTCCCTTTCTGTGCTTCTACATAATTCCATTGTCTGAAAGTTTTGGAGTGCTAACTAGACTAGACTGTGGATTGCCTGCTAACCAAAATGGGACCTCCCAGTGAGACCTAGTGTCTTATCCCAGACCTGTTTCCCTAAAGTAAAGAATTGAAATAAAATCAGCAAGAAAGGATAGAAAGCCATTCAGTCACCGGTTAGGGTTTTTAGGATTCTGATTATATCTGTCTTATAACTCTTCCTTGATTGAAGGAGCCCAATTCTAACTTATCCTTAGGATGATAGGTTACATACAATACTTGGTTACCTACAGCCTAAGCTCTTAGCTTGTAGTAAGTATTTTATCAAGCTTGTATTAGAAAGACAATTCTCTAAGGCAGGGGTTTTTAACCTTTTTTGTATCATGGATCCTTTTGGCAGTCTGGTGAATCCTATGGTCCCTTTCTCAGAATCATGTTTTTAAATTCATAAAATAAAATATGTAGGATTACAAAGGAAATGAATTATATTTAAATACAGTCATCACAATATTAAAAAACAAAGACAAATCAAAGGACCCTAGGTAAAAACCCTTTCATCTAAGTATATAAATTGCAGTGCGGGTACCAATCCGCTTTGGTAGAAGAAATCTCTTCATTAGGTTTCCCTAGGCCAGTAAAATCATAGGTCTAAATTTAGACCTAAACAGGTCTAAAATGCCAGAAGTTAATCTACACTTAACTAGAGGACTTTTGTGTTTGTAATTATGTAATAGAGGCCTATTGTGCCTTGTGATTTTTTGTGAATTCTCTAATTTTGTCTACTAATACATATTCATTTTCATTTCTGATGGGCATTGAACTTAAATTAATAAAGTGCTTAACATTTAAAATTTATTAAAATCAATAGTTTATTGAAATTAATAGTTAAATATTATATAGTATATTATCATTATTGTTATATATTTTCTCCTTCCATTTACTTATTCCTGTAACTATATTTAGTATTTGTATGCATTATTGATATTTTGTTAATATGGACCTGATCTGTTTTCCCATTTAGAATGCAATCTTCTTGACTGGCCATGATTTTTAAAATTTCCTTTTTATTCCTGTTTTCTCCCTGTACCTTGTACACCCCCCACCCGATACTCTCAATAAATTTTGCTTATTGAATTCATTTATGAGAAAAAGGTAGTGGCTATAGAAGCTATCCATATTATTTTTGGAGGTGGAAAAAATGTGGGCTAAATATATTATGTCTTGATTTAAAAGAAACACGTAGTGCTGTAATATTGTAATTTTAAATA